TTGCAGTATCTATTCATTTATACATTGACTATATGTACACAGTGTGCTATGCATACAGCACTCTGAATGAATGTTTTTTTTTTTTTTTTTTTTCTTCTGTCATTGGTCAGCTGATAGTGGTGGGGGGGTTCAATTCACCCTCATTCTGACATTTCATCAGTATATAGGCCTGTGGCCAGCAGACACATCCCTAGCTCTGAGGAAGGGGGTACAGCTCCCGAAACGCGTTAGCATATCCGCATCATTAGACAGAGCCATATTGTGACTGTTTTTGTGGACCACCTTACTGCTTTTATCACGTTGGTTTGTGAGTATATAATCCTTTTTTATTAATAAATACGTGGATTACCACGGTAATGCACAATGAGAGTGCGTCCTTGTTTGTTTGTTTTCCATCCTTAGTTGTATGCCCAAATTGACAGGTAGGAGGGCTGCATTGTAAACAATGCAGCCCTCCTCCCTGTCGGTGATCACTGGTAATCACCGGGCTTCGGCGGGTAATCACCGACTGGGACCCGTTGACTGACACCCGCGGCCAGAACGGATTAATTGGACTGCAATGCATTCCTATGGGAAACCGCGTTTTGGTTTACGAATTTTTCGCAACACGAAACGTCCTGCAGAACACAGATTCGTAAACCGAGGTACGCCTGTAATGCAAGAACTACTTTAGAAACCTCACATTAAGACGTTGACAGTCATTAGATGCGATTCCAGGTGTGATTTCAATTCGCAAATTGCACCGTGCGATCGGGCACTGCAAGAGTGAAATGTTCGTTAAGGCCTCAGTCACATGAGGCATACTAAAGCATAAGCCCGTGGAATGGTCATGTTTACCCCACATGGGGATCCACACGTGTTCTGAGTATCCCCCATACAGGCAGTCTCATTAATGTCAATGGGATGCAGTGGCTGCACAGACTCCGCTCACAATATGACATCCATCTGGGTGCATGGGCCCTAAAGCACCCCGTCAGTGTGCACCAGTGTCCGAATGGGAGCAGCATCTCTGTTCGCATCAGTGTAATACCAATGGGACTGCCTGTGGGGATGCACCAAACACCTTCACATCCCTGTGTGGGTAAATATGGCCCTCCATGAGCATACACTTTAGTACCCGCCATGTGAACAAGGTCTAGGGGTAAAGGTATAAATATGTAATATCTTATTCCTCTCTCCACCACTCCTGAATTGTGGGTGGGTCCTGACATACTATTCAGAACTTCTGGTCCTGCATTGTGCTTGATGACGTCGCTGGTTGCAGTGCTTTAGAGACGAGGCTTTAGGAAGGTGGGGGCGGCAGGACTGACTGGTCACCTAGCTTGGAGGAAGCCATTGTTTTTTTTGTTTTGTGCTTGAGTTTTTTGTGTTTTTTTTTTTTTTTTTTTTTTTTTTTTGTTTTTGAGGTTCTTTGTTTTTTTTTGCTTTTGTTTTTGAGTTTTGTTTTGTGGGGTTTTTATCTTTTGTTTTTTTTTGTTTTTTTTTTTTTTTTGTTTGACAATTTTTTTTTTTAGGGTTTTATGTTTTTGGGGGGTTTAGGGGTTTTTTTTTTTTTTTTTTTTTTTTGAGGTTTTGTTTTGCTTTTTTGAACATGTGACCACCTTTTGCACTGGGAAGCTGTAAGGTTGCTGCTCCTAATCCCCACGCTTTGTCTTTAATGTGCCACAAGACTGAAGCTTCTGTGAGTACTGAGCCCATCATTTGCATTATCGCAGTTGTACGAGGTGGTTTTGCGGCGTTTTCAGGGGCAGAAGAAACTCCCAATGACCACCCAGTTTTCCACCATGGGAGACAAGCCTAGATTTTTTTTCAGAACAAGATTTTTGGGGATCTACCCCTCTTTTTGTTGGTCCAAAAAGTGAACCAAGAAAAGGTGACTTCTTAAAAGCTTGTCCTGAAAATCGAACCCATTAATTTACTGTGCAGAAAAAAAAGATGGAGCGCATTCAGCTGTATTGCTGGTGAACCAATATGGCTACAATCGCTGACTCCATATATTAACGTCTTTACTGGTACAGAAAACAGACCTTCTAGTAATACTGACTGTAACACCTCTGCTTGGAGCTTAGATACACTGGGATCATCGTCCTGTGATAAATGTCTTCCCGTGTGTCAGAGGAATGCAGGGTCTGGATCCCGGGGTGATTTATGTACATGAAACTGTTTTTTTAAAGGAGAAGTATGGCCAAAGCTATTTTATCTATACACCTATGGATCATAGAGGTGCTCTTAGTTCTGCACTCTTGTGACCCATTTTCAGCTGACAGCAAGCTAAGCCCTCTGTCCTATGCAGCACAGTGGCTGAATGGTTGGCACTTCCGCCTGGCAGTACTGGGGTCATTGGTTCAAATCCCAACCACGGCACCACCTGCCTGGATTTAACATGTTCTCCCTGTGCCTGCGTGGGTTTCCTTCCAAATTTCAAAGACATGCTGGTAGGTGAACTGGCTCCTGTCTAAATTGTCCCTAGTATGTGTATGTATGAATGTAGTTAGGGATTAGATGTACGTTGAGGGACCTTAGATTGTACACCCCTTGAGGGTTAGGGACTGATGTGAATGTACAATATATATGTAAAGCACTGTGTAAATTGATGCGCTAACTTGAAATAAAATAAATATTGACATCACTCAGCTGGTCCAGGCCTGGCTCAGGAAAGATCCTGATTTTAAAGTCGGGATCCCCCTGGAAGCTTGGACTGGCAGCTGGCTCAACCCCTTAGCAAGCCACTGAGAGCCTGAACCAGCTGTTCCTGCCCCCTCCACAAGGAGCGCTGGAGGGGCAGAGCAAAGAGTGACAGTCATCTCTGCAGACTGAAAATAAGAGAATTGAACATTCAGCGGTCTTTGATCGCTCCGCTCTCAATGTTAAAGCCAGTGGGGGCCGCATTTAGCATGGATCCGGTGCTGCATGCACATAGGTAAGTATGAATGTTTGTGGTGTTTTTTTAAATTCCTGAACTTCTTTTAAAAGAACCAATCGGATAATAGAGATGGAAACAAGTGGCCGAATAGTCCTTCCACTGGAGTGCTTTAAATTGTTTCACAGAAAACATTGCAGTTTTTCTAAATTAAAGTGGGGTTATCTTGCATTAAAGTGGTTGTCAAATCCTCCTACATAAGTTGTACCTGTTTGTCTTCTCTTCTGTATATCTGTTCAAAGTGCTGAAACATAAAGCTTGTCTGCCAGTTCAGAAAAAGGGAGCGGAGAGCCCTGCAGAGGTCAGAGAGGAGAGCTGATTGCACCCCCCCCCCCCCCCCACACACACACACACACACACACAACACACACACACACACAACACACACACACAACACAGAACACACACACACACTGAGATTGTCAACCACAGGCTGTGAGCAGTAGCTCCCTCCCCGTCACTTTTTTTATTTTTTTTTTTCTTGGTGTCAGGAAAACTTGTCAGAAGGGCCTCGCACAGATAGTAGAAAAAGGTGGTAGCGGACAGAAATGACACTTGGTACTCTGGACTGAGACAAGAACATACTATAAAGGGATGTGCAGTGTTCATATTTCATGTCTCAGGTTTACAACCACTTTAACCATCTCAGTGCCGGACACTTTCACCCCCTTCTTGCCCAGGCCAATCTTCATCTTTCAGCACTCTCACACTTTGACAATTGCTCAGTCATGCAACACTGTATGCATATTAAATTTTTCTACAACAAATAGAGCTTTCTTTTTGGTGGTATTTATTCACCACTGGGATTTTTTTTTTTTTCTCTTGCCAAACGAAGTGCAGTTATGACAGAATATAAGTGGGACTAGTGTCTCCCATAGTAAGTACAAAGGTCATGCAAGCAGATACAATGTTCATTAACCATCCAGGGTCAGTACAGGTTTGTTGCAGGCAGAAACATGGTCGGCACAGCCATAGTATTGGTCCAGGCAGCAGGCAAAAACATGGTCAGGCGCAGCCATAGTATTGGTCCAGGCAGCAGGCAGAAAACATGGTCGGCGCAGCCATAGTATTGGTCCAGGCAGCAGGCAGAAACATGGTCGGCGCAGCCATAGTATTGGTCCAGGCAGCAGGCAAAAACAAGGTCGCGCAGCCATAGTATTGGTCCAGGCAGCAGGCAGAAACATGGTCGGCGCAGCCAAGGTATTGGTCCAGGCAGCAGGCAGAAACATGGTCGGCGCAGCCATAGTATTGGTCCAGGCAGCAGGCAGAAACATGGTCGGCGCAGCCAAGGTATTGGTCCAGGCAGCAGGCAGAAACATGGTCGGCGCAGCCATAGTATTGGTCCAGGCAGCAGGCAGAAACATGGTCGGCGCAGCCATAGTATTGGTCCAGGCAGCAGGCAAAACATGGTCGGCGCAGCCATAGTATTGGTCCAGCAGCAGGCAGAAACATGGTCGGCGCAGCATAGTATTGGTCCAGGCAGCAGGCAAAAACAAGGTCGGCGCAGCCATAGTATTGGTCCAGGCAGCAGGCAAAAACATGGTCGGCGCAGCCAAGGTATTGGTCCAGGCAGCAGGCAGAAACATGCAGCCAAGGTAAGGCAGCAGGCAGAAACATGGTCGGCGCAGCCATAGTATTGGTCCAGGCAGCAGGCAGAAACATGGTCGGCGCAGCCATAGTATTGGTCCAGGCAGCAGGCAGAAACATGGTCGGCGCAGCCATAGTATTGGTCCAGGCAGCAGGCAAAAACAAGGTCGGCGCAGCCATAGTATTGGTCCAGGCAGCAGGCAGAAACATTTTTCCATAACCAGGCCAGGGTCAGCACTTGCAATAAATCCAAGTGTGCTGTTTTTGGTGAGCTGAATCATAAATTGTAGTGGTTATGAATAAGCAAAGAACACATGGCACCAAAAAAAGCTAGTGCCCTTGTGAACTGAGTGCAGAAAGTTTGTTTTTTTTTTTGTTTTTTTTCATTCAGTAGTTTGTAAGTATATTTGCACATGGGAACAATCTCATTATCTTTAATGACTAATGTTCTTAATGTTCCTTTTGCAGTAAGCTGACCACTGCTGGAGAGCCCATGGAAGGAAATAAAAATGCAGGTGACAAAAAAGGTGAGCAGTACTATGATTGCTCTGTTCTGTGATCTTCCATTGTACAGTTTGGTGTATTTCATTAAACATTTAGCTACGCTGTCACTTTGGCCATTCGGGGTAAAGTGGTATTATCTGTGTGATCCTGCCCTCCAATCTCATGGACACTCCTCTTTATGGACTCATGGACACTGCATCTGCTAAACTGACGTTCAGTGTTTTTTTTTTCAGCAGCCCCTGAACTCTCCGTAATGTCTTCCTATGTGTCCATGTACACATCGTCGTTTTATAGTCGTTGTTTTTTTTGAACGCATCAAACTTGCATTCAGGAGTAGATTTTACCAGCGTTTCAAACTCCAAACGCTTGTAAACGCGGTTGACCGCGTTTATAGGCGTTTGCGTTTCAGAAGCGTTTTTTAACGGTTTCATATCCAGATGCTGTCCAGAGCCTTTTTTTCATCATCAGAAATGCATGCAAAGCGTTTTCCATGTATTCAAATGGACCCGGTACACCAGCGCAGTCAGTTCCAGGATTCACATGAAGGAAAAAATGGTAGAACGCGCCGCATTATCTCCACAAATACTGCTCTCTCTGCTTCTGCTCTCTCTATTTCTCTCAAAATGTCTGAAATAGTTAATTTACTATTTTTCAGTGCATTCTGGGCATTTTGGAAGGTCTCCTGAGGTTATCTTTCGAAAACGCTTCTAAACACAAACACGGTATGCAAAGGCGGCTAAACTGATGTTTTTTTTAACCTACGTTTTCCAGCAGTCAGTTTTCATCGTTCAGAAGAGTTTTCACAAACGTCCCGTGTACATGGAGCCCTTAGTGGTTCCCTGCCGCTGTTTTCTCTATCACACCCAGTTCATAATATCTGGTGCTTCTTGGCATGGGGAAGTTGCTTGGGTCTAACTGACAATAGGAAGTCACGTGACGGGGGGGTGACATGACCACTAGGCTCAGACATCCGGTATTTTGCCCTAGGCAGACGCCCTGAGTGGCCAATGTCAGGGTTTATTTTTAAAGATGTGGTGGTGTTTTAGCCACTTGCCCTGCAGAGGATTCTTCTCCCCCCCCCCCCCCCCCCCCCCCCCCCCCCCCCGCCTGGCAGATTTATGCGATACGGCGCTGCGTTACTTTACCTCACAATTGCGCAGTCATGCAATGTTACACCCAAATGAAATGTATGTATTTTTGTTTCCACGAATGGAGCTTTCTTTCAATGGTATTTGATCGCCAGTGCGTTTTTTTTTTTTTTTTTTTTTTTTTTTTTTTGCGCTATAAACAAAAGACTGGCAATTTAAAAAAAAAAAAAAAAAAAAATTTTTTTTTTACTTTTTGCTAAAAAAAAAAAAAAAAAAAATCAAAGTTCGTCATAAATTCAGGCCAAAATGTATTCTGCGACATGTCTTCGTTTTAAAGAAGAAAAAAAAAATCCCAGTACATGTAAATCAATTGATTTATGTGAAAGTTGTCTACAAATGGCGGTACAGATACTTTAAAATGTATTTATATATTTTATTTTTTTTTATACTAGTAATGGTGACGATCAGCGACTTATAGCGGGACTGCGGTGGGCATCCTGACACGGGGGAGGGGGCGGAACTGACCAACTGCCACTGATCTCCCCACTGACACCAATACAGTGATCAGTGTTAAAAAGCACTGACACTGTACTGATGGCACTGGGCAGGTAGGGGCTAACATCTGGGGCAATTAAAGGGTTACCTGTGTGCTGTTTTACTGTGTTGTCTGTGTGTGCTTTACTGTGTAAGCACACTGCTTTGTATTGCTCTGCTATGTAGCTTTTTGTAGCTGTGAAGCGCCGTTGTAGTTCATTGAAGCTTCCCGTCAGAATATCTGCTTGCTCATACATCTCCTGTACAACATGCAGATATTCTGACAGGTCTGCAGGAGATCTGCATGGCATCAGCGATCTACTGATCACTGGTGCAATGCTTTCCAGGCTCCTGTAGACAAAAATAATAAATGCATGTTTTTTTACCTGCAAAATAATGCATTTATTATTTTTGTCTAAAAGGTGAACTTATCCTTTAAAGTTGAATTCCAGGAATTCAGCAACTTTGCAAACCGTGCAGGCACACGATGAGTTGGCTCCCACCAGATGCCTGCCAACTGGTGGAATTATTTTTATCATTTTATATCTGACAGCTTTATTAGACTCAGAGCCAGTTCACACCACAAAAACGTCCTCCAGGTCCGTTCTGGATGCGTTTATGCATGGTTTTTTTTGGGTTTTTTTTTCTTTTCTTTTTAGTATTTTTTTTATGCTTTTCTGGATGCATTGCAGATGCTTCTTTTCCTCTGAGTATTTCAATTGCAAAATCTTTTCTTTTTCATCAAGACAATGCTTCCAGCTCACTTTTCCGGTCTGATCACTGCCTGCTTAGAACTGTCCATTGTGTGCTGCCGTGTAGAGAAGATTTCTTATACAGCATTTTTTTTTTTTTTTTTTTTGCTTTTTTTTTTTTTTTTTTTTTTGTGCATGCCATTGGAACCCATGTAACATACTTTCTTGCGTTTTTGCCGTAGAACAAAAGCACTGCATGTGGTCTGAACTGGCCAATGCTGCACAGCTCTGCTCTCGGCCTCTTCAAGTGTAAAGTCTGTGCAGCTACTATGCCCCTTCCCCTCCTCATGCCCTGTCACAGAAGCCTTTGTATTCTGTGAACTCATTCGCAAAATAGGCTTCTGTGAATGGGCAGCAGAGGGGAGGGGCGGTGGGTATAGCTGCTGTTCATGCTTCTCTCTTTCAGCCCCCAGTGTCTCAGATTATCCTCAGCAGAGCCATAAGGCTGTCGGATATAGAAACAATAATTCTGCAATGTGGCAGGGCACCTGGTTGGAGTTAACTCATCGCATGGCTGCAGTTTTTACAAGTTGCTGAATTCCTGAAATTCAGCTTTAAATTGTTTTCCTGCTTCATTAGGAGATTTACTTTTGATAGTTTAAGCTGAAAGTGGTTGTAAGGTGGAACGTTTTTGCCCTAATGCATTCTCTGCGTTAAGGTCAAATAAATTCTGTGATTAGCTACCCCACCCCCAGAAAGACTTGCGTGAGCCTAATCTAGATCCATCTTTGTTCCCAAGAGCAACATCACTGCTCTCTCTCCTCACAGGACATGGAGGCAACAGTGGGAGCCATTGGCTCCTGCTGCTGTCAGTCAAATCCTGCGTGGGAGGTGAGGCTGAGCCGCACTGTGTGTCAATAGAAAATACCTTATTCCTTACTCCCCTGGCAGCTGTCATTTTCTTTTGTTTCTGATGCTCCTGGAATGCGGGCAGAACCTCAGCATCATCACTGCTTTTCCTTCATTGTACATGATGACTTTAGAAAGCTGAGACCGGTCAGAAAGGAAAGAGAAGCAGCTGCAGGGGACCAGTTCTGCAGAGATAAGCCAGTGATTACCCTTGCAGTGTGGCGGGGATCCCGTTGCAGAGGTAATTGCGTGGGTAACTCTTTTTTTTTTTTTTTTTTTTTTTCTGCTGCCCAGGATTGGGCTTTAAGGGAAGAGTACCAGGTTCTGCAGGCCTCATTCATCCTAAACTACACCCCATTGGTTTGTGTTCTTAGCATGGTGGGTAATTAATGGCGGCCATACATGGGTCGAAATTCCACCAATTTTTCGGACCTAAGAATATTCGGCTGATTTTCGCTCTATTAGTGGGTCAATGGCAGTGGCCGATTTTTGTGGTTCTTTCTCTTTTGGTGATCGGGCTTGTTGGAAAATTTGTGAAAAAACGACCGATTTCCGACTCGATGGTCAAATCGTACGATCGTTTTTCCAAAAAGAATATGCGCATGAGCCGTGACCTGAAAGGATCAGAAGTTTTGCCTGTTATATCGGGTGAACTTTATGACTTGGTCGGCCGATTTTCAAAATCATTGATGGCGCCATCGGATTACCGAGAATTCCGACTCGCGATGGTCAAATCGTAAACGATCGAACAACGGATTTACCGAGTGAAAAAACGACCGATTTCCGACTCGATGGTCAAATCGTACGATCGTTTTTCCCAAAAAGAATATGCGCATGAGCCGTGACCTGAAAGGATCAGAAGTTTTGCCTGTTATATGGGGTGAACTTTATGTCTTGGTCGGCCGATTTTACAAAATCATTGATGGCACCATCGGATTACCGAGTGAACAACATTTTTGATTTTTGGACAGAAAATAATTCAGAGTTCGACCCGTGTATGGGCCTGCATTAGTTGCTGAAGCCTTACATGTCATGGATTGTGACCATTCAAACATCTGCTTTCCGTTGGCCTTTTTGAGTTGAAATTTGTTCAAATGAAGCCTTTTTACTTTGATTTGCTTCTCAATTTATCCTTTCTTCACACAGACAAACTGGCCGATCAGATAATGCAGAACCCTCAAGTTCTCGCTGCTCTTCAGGAAAGGCTTGACAGCGTTTCTCAGACTCCGTCAAGTTACATTGAAACGTAAGTTAATGGTACCCCGAACCTGTGATGTCACTAGGTTGCTAGTTTCCTAACGTAACGGGGGTTATTTACTAAAACCGCATGGTGCAAAATCTGGTGCAGCTCTGCAAAGAAACCAATCGGCTTCCAGGTTTTTATTGTCAAAGCTTAACAAGCTGAAGTTAAAAGCTGATTGGCTCCCATCCACAACTGCACCAGATTCTGAGTGCTCCAGTTTTAGGAAATCTCCAAAGAATGGTCCTTTTGTGCTCAGGCTGGATTTCTGCCTTTTTATTTTTTTACATGCTCATTTCTTCCACGTGCTTGATTCTATACTCCCAACTTTAAAGGGGGGGGGGGGGGCAACTCCCTAACATGCCCCCGTTGGGTAAAGGTCAATCTTTCTTTTTGTCATGTTTACCATTATCAAGTGTAAGTAAAGAAAACCCCAAATTTTGAGGTTGTCCCCAGAAAAGTAATAGAACATTTTTCAATGGGGAAACTAGTTTTGATGACTTGGGGGGGGGGGGGGGGGGGGTGTGTCTCCAACGAATTCCTTTTAATTTTTGGGGATTATCTTTCTTCGTATTTTGACTGAAACAGGAAGTGAAAGTAAATCTCCCCAATGGGAAATGACAAATAAACTGATGGGTTATAACCTGGGAGTAGGAGTGGTTGTGTAATTTAGGAAAAGTCAACTGGGAGGGCTGACACTAATGGTGCACCGAAATGAAAATTCTGGTGCCGAAAACGAAAATTCAAAATGCATTAGGCCGAAAACCAAAACCGAAATGTGCAGATTTTAAAAATGAGTATGTTTTTTGGACAAAAATACACTTTGATTAAAAAAACAATCTATGCCCCAATTTTTTCGTAAAATAGGAAAGAGGATGTTACGGCGAGTAAATAGATACCCAACACGTCATGCTTTAAAATTGTGCACACTCGCGGAGTGGCGTGAAACTGCGGTACTTAAAAAATCTCCATGGGTGATGCTTTAAAAATTTCTACAGGTTAGCAGTGTAAAGTTACAGAGGAGGTCTAGTGCGAAAATTATTGCTCTTGTTCTGACGTTCATGGCGATACCTTACATGTGTGGTTTGAATACCATTTACATATGTGGGCATGGCCTACATATGTGTTCACCATGTACGAGGACAGGGGCACTTTAAACTTTAAAAAAAAAAAAATGTATTTAATGGTTTTTGGGCTTTTTGCACTGTTCCTTTAAAGAAAACATTTTAATCACTTTTATTCTTGCCACAAGAAAAGCATGCATCCCTTGTGATAGAACTAATTAGTGACAGGCAGGGGCGGACTGACCATTTGGAAACTCGGGCACTGCCCGAGGGCCCGGGGATCAGTAGGGGGCCCCATGAGATGCCCCTGGTACCTTTTTCATAGGCTTTTTTGAGTTTGGGCAAAGACACAGGGGCCCCATGATCCCCTATTGCCGGGGGCCCCATCAGTTGTCAGTCCGCCCCTGGTGACAGGTCCTCTTTATGAAGAGATATGGGGTCAATAAGACCCCATATCTCTCCTCTGCAATGTAAAGCATTGGATCAAATAAAAGCATTGATCTAGTACTTTAAAAAAAAAAAAATGGCCAGAATGGGAAGTGATAACGCTCCGGTCCTCCAAGGGCATAGAGATGTGTGGCGGCCATCTTTCCATCACTCATTTCTATGCCCAGCGCCAGGATTTATGGTTTCTCAGGTAAGACCGAGGTAAGAATGGCGGCGGCAAGGGGCGGGGTTGTTTCAGCACTTGTATTGTGTTTTTTTTCTTTTCATTTTGGCCGACAGTCGAAAGGGGTGTGTTTTTGGCTGAAAAGTTTCGACCACTGAAATTTCGGTGCATCCCCAGCTGACACCCATTGGTTCACAAAAATCTTGTGCGTTCGCTTACAACAAAACTTTGCAGCATTTCTTATAGTTTTTCTATACTAGCAGAGACTAACTGGATAAAGAGTTGAGTACTGTGCATGTATCGCAGACATTTACAGCATATTTTAGATTTACATTTTTTTGACGTACGCTTCGTTTTCCTCTGTTTTGATAGTTTACCTAAAGCTGTAAAGCGAAGAATCAATGCCTTGAAACAACTCCAGGAGAAGTGCGCTCACATAGAAGCCAAATTCTATGAGGAGGTTCACGAGCTCGAGAGGAAATATGCCGCCCTGTATGAGCCTCTGTTTGCGAAGGTATGTATAGTACAGAGGCCCGTTTCATGTGTACATTATCACCACTGTGTGACTGGTGAGCGGTCTCTGCTGTTTACTGCTAATCTTTGACTTGCAAATTGACAGTTCTTTAAACTGTCACTTTTTTTTTTTTTTTTTTTCCTTTTTAAGCAATTCAATACCGTGCAATTTTACACCTTCCTGCCCAGGCCATTTTTCAGGTTTCAGCGCTCTCACACTTTGAATGACAATTGCGCAGTCATACAACATTGTACCAAAACTAAAATTTTATCATTTTGTTCACACAACTAGAGCTTTCTTTTGGTGGTATTTAATCACAGCCGGGGTTTTTATTTTTTGCTAAATTAACAAAAAAATACCAAAAATTTTGAAAAAAAAACACGTTTTTATTTGTTTCTGTTATAAAAGTTTACAAATAAATAATTGTTCTTCATAAATTTAGGCCGAGATGTATTCTGCTACATGTCTTTGGTGAAAATAACCCAAATTAGGATGTATTATTTAGTTTGTAGGAAAGTTATAGAGTTCACAAACTATGGTATAGATCTGAAAATTGATCAATCCTGAAGTACTGACAGCCAATCTAATTTCTTGAGGTCCAAGAATGTCAGAACAGTACAGATATCCCCAAATGTCAGGACGGTACAGATATCCCCCAAATGTCAGGACGGTACAGATATCCCCCAAATGTCAGGACGGTACAGATATCCCCCAAATGTCAGGACGGTACAGATATCCCCCAAATGTCAGGACGGTACAGATATCCCCCAAATGTCAGGACGGTACAGATATCCCCCAAATGTCAGGACGGTACAGATATCCCCCAAATGACCCCTTTTTGCAGAGTAGACAGTCCGACGTACTTCATAGGAGGAATGGCGAGTTTTTTGAAGTTGTATTTTTTTTGTAATAATTTTTTGGAAAATTAAAAAATTTAAATTATTTTCACTATTTTTTTTTTTTTTTTACATACTGTCACCAGTGCAGTACAGCGTCATCATATAACTGGCATGGCAGTGAACAGGGACACTGACTGGTGACAGTATGAAAAAAAAAAATATATTTTTTTTTATTTTTTTAATTTTAATTTTTTATTAATTTTTTTTTTTTTTAAGATTTTTTTTCATATTTTACTATGACCAAAGTAGTACAATGTTACCATAGTAACATTGTACTACTTTGGGGAAGTGATCAGTATTTTTTTTTTTTTTACACAATTTGCTTATAGCAAAGAATTACTTTGCTATAAGCCAGCATTTACCAGAATGAAATTGATTCATTCATATTTTTTTTTTTTTTTTTTTTTTTTTTTTTTGTGCTTAGCTGTGATTTGGTCACAGCTAATCACATGACATGTGCATGTGATTAGCTGTGACCATTCACAGCTAGGCACTTGTATACAATGGATGGCATGAATGAAGCCATCCATTGTATACAACTGTCATGTGACCTGCTGTGATTGGTCACATGGTACCAGCAACGGGGGCCAGTACTCAGATCTGTCATCGGCCGTGTCCGAGGTACACGGCCGGTGACAGATCGCGCCGCTGCGAGGCTCTGCATTAGCGCAAACTGCGCATGTGCGGGTGCACGCCAAATGGTGTGCACTTTTGAAGCCGCCAAACTGCCATTGGCCGGGCGGCTAATGGTTAAAGAGGAGCTGAATCTGTGCCAAAAAAAAGTAGAGCAAAGGACGAGTCACTAGTGTTGCCTGTAGTCTCCCTGCAGCTGATCTACCCTACTTAAAGGGTTAGTTCACCTTTACAAAACAACTGCCTATGCAGGTAAGGAGTATTTGTAGATGAAACCACCTGTGCAGATCTCACTAAAGATGAATAATACCCGGAGGATCGTCCTGTTGTAATCCGAGGTATCAAACCATGTGAATGATCTCACCTGTATTCTGGCTAAGTTCAATTTTTAGATATGTGTTCAGCTCTGAAAATAACTCTTGCTGTTTTCATTACAAACGGTGTGCATGATGCCGACATTTTTCCAAGCTGTTTTTTTCTTTATATATTGTATCTGTAGAGAATGTTCATTGTTACGGGAGAGGTGGAGCCGACAGATGATGAATGTGAATGGCACAGCGGTGGCGAGGAGGAAGAAAAAGAAAAATTAGCGGTAGGAAAAGCTACTTGGTCAACTTTTTGGTTCACAGTGCAAAAAAAAAAAAAAAACTGTAAGATGTCAAAAGATGAACAATGTGTGGAGTGACTTTCATTGGATGATTGAGGATTGTGAGGAAAGGTTAGGTAACGTGGGTAGTAATGAGACCCCATCAGTCCATGGTACTGTTGTGTTGTGCGACCAGTATCGAAATGTACTACAAGTATTATTATTATACAGGATTTATATAGCGCCAATGGGTATGCTCAGCGCTGTACAATAGCGAGGGGGACAGGACATGAGACAATACACGAGGGGTTCGAGGGCCCTGCTCTTTCGAGCTTACAATCTAGGAGGGAGGGGATAGGGGTACAGGAGGAAGTGGCTGTAGGGGATGGAGTGGTGGGAGGAGTGGAGGAGATTGGTTGTTGGGTGAGGATGGGGTAGGCTTCCCTGAAGAGATGGGTTTTCAGGGAGCGCCTGAAGGTGAGGAGGGTAGGTGACAGTCTGATGGATTGGGGTAGGGAGTTCCAGAGGATGGGGGAAGTCCTGGAGAAGTCCTGCAGTCGGGCGTGGGCGGAGGAGACCAGGGATCTAGAGAGTAGGAAGGTCCTGTGAGGAGCGAAGGGCACGGGTTGGGTGGTATTTGGGTGGCTGTTGTGAATGGCTTTGTAGGTCAGAGTTAGTAATTTGAATTTGATGCGCTGGGCAAGATCAAGATCAATTAAGATCAATGACGTTAAAAATGTTATTGGGTCCTCAGAATCAGGCTTGGTTCACACTAGTGCGAGTGGAAGCTGCTGCATGACCTGCACTTCGTCCTGCAGCTACAGCCACCAGCACACAAATCACAGGACCCATGGGCGGGGTGCCATCAATCTTAATGACATGCCCCCCACACTGGAAATCACACCTGGTTCCCAGTGAGTGCTGCAATTTCTGGGAAGGCGGTGCAGGGACCTTTTCCCTGCATTTTGTGAAGCACGGCAGCCCACTCAAACGCGTGGCTCGCAAAACCGCACTAATGTGAACCGAGCCTGAGATTCTACACTGATAGAGATGAATATAGCATCCATAGAAGGGTGCAAGTTCTAATCAGATAGAGAGCAAACAGGTGGCGCACACACCTAGTGCATTATCCAAGGTTTATTGTAGGAGTGAAAGAATAATAAAAACATACTCACAGACAAAGCATGTATCTAAAAAGCATAGAAAAATGACAATGGCCACACCGGCGGGCAAGGTGTTCTCACTGTCAGTGCGGTCAAATAGCTGACACGTTTCGGGGACGAATCCCTTTCCTCAAAGCTGATGACCAACCTCTGATGCTGATGTATGATGTATGGACAAAAAGAGCCTCGCTGTTGATGCAAGCTCTAACCAACCTAGGGCAGTGTAGTTTCATCAGTGATCCAGTGGACATAATTGCATCAATGCCAAGTTGGGTAAAATTAAAGTGTAAGTTTACCCATAATAACTTGGTAAAAAAAGTTCTTTAGTAAGGAACATACATTCTACATGCATAATTATGCTACCCAAATTAGTGTGTGCTGTAAATTGCCTCCAGCACTGTTCTTGTTTCTTCTTGCCATAGGCTGCCATTTTAGCTGAAGCCCAGAGCCCCTGAGCAGCAGTAAATCTGTAGGCTGTCAGCAGGTCGGCCTCTTCAAATTCGGCACAGTGCCTAAAATAGAGAGGAACTGAGCATGTGCAGAGCAGGGTGAGACAGTGTGTTACTGGTTTTTTTTACAGTGTAGGCTTTTTTTTTTTTTTTTTTTTTTTTTTTTTTTTTTTTTTTTTTTTTTATATTGGTGTTCTTGCATAGCTATACCTACAAAAGTGGCCAGCCTGAAGTGATCTGGCAGAACTTTATTTTCTCAATATTATTATTATTATACAGTGTTTATATAGCGCCAAAAGGTTTGCTCAGCGCTTTACATTATAGTGGGGGACAGAACATGAGACAGTACAGTAACAAAACCATACACGAGGGGTTCGAGGGCCCTGCTCTTTCGAGCTTACAATCTAGGAGGGAGGGGATAGTGGTACAGGAGGAAGTGGCTGTGGGGGATGGAGTGGTAGGAGGAGTGGAGGAGATCGGCAGTTAGGTGAGGGTGGGGTAGGCTTCCCTGAAGAGATGGGTTTTCAGGGTGCACCTAAAGGTGAGGAGGGTAGATGACAGTCTGATGGATTGGGGTAGGAAGTTCCAGAGGATGGGGAAGTCCTGGAGAGGTCCTGCAGTCGGGCGTGGGAGGAGGAGACCAGGGAGCTAGAGAGTAGGAGGTCTTGTGAGGAGCGAAGATTACGGGTTGGGTAGTATTTGGGTATCAGGTCAGTGAGGTAGTTAGGGGCGGCGTTATGAATGGCTTTGTATGTCTGTGTTAGTAGTTTGAATTTGATGCGCTGGGCAATCGGGAGCCAGTGGAGGGAATGACTGAGCGGTTGGTAAGGTGGATGAGTCTGGCCGCTGAGTTCAGGATTGACTGAAGCGGGGATAGTCTGTGATGAGGTAGGCCGGTGAGGAGGGAGTTGCAGTAGTCCAGGCGTGAGTTAATGAGGGAGTGAACGAGTAGTTTAGTAAATAGTCAATTTAGTCAATAAAATTCCACTTTGATTATTTACTTGATACTAGCTTAGCTTGTCCTTGAAGAAAGGAAATCCTACAATAGAGCATTGCAGAGATAAGTTTTAAATAATTTTTCATAATCCAGGAGATGATTCCAATGAGGACACTTGTCCAATGACAACTGTCTGAGGGCTCATTCACACCATATGCTTTGGGATATGCTGGTAATTTGCCTTTTTTCCTGTAGTGTCCGTTCATGGTAGTATGTGCTGAAAGACGTCCTCCATGCAGAACTTTATTTCAGCACACCAGGTTGTGACTGAAACCACAGCATTCCAACACCACTATGTGAATTGAACCTAATGAAATGTCTCCTGTGATTCTTCAATAAAGTTTGAACAAAGGGAAAAGTAAACTAGGCAAATTGCCAAATGGCATTGAATCATGTATTGTAAAGGACACCGCACACCACCAGCTCGGTATGTAGTGCTACGTGAAGATGGCCTCAGCTACTCCTAGGCCGTGCCACTAGCGCGTTTTGTCCCGTAGCCTCTTCGACTAAGCCGTCATGGCAGGGCTAAACAGATCAGCGGTGTTGCCTAGGAGGAGTTGGGAAGATACTGGAGAGTTTAATAAAAGACTACATGGATGATTTCTTGCTGGAAAAAAAATATTTTAAGCAACAGACAGCATGGATTCATGGAAGACAGATGTTGTCAATCAAATCTGATTTCTTTTTATGAAGAGGTGAGCAAAACATTGGACAGAGGGGTGGCGGTGGATGTGGTATACTTGGACAGAGGGGTAGTGGTGGGCGTGGTATACTCGGGCAGAGAGGTGGACGTGGTATACTCGGGCAGAGGGGTGGACGTGGTATACTCGGGCAGAGGGGTGGACGTGGTATACTCGGGCAGAGGGGTGTGGACGTGGTATACTCGGGCAGAGGGGTGGGCGTGGTATACTCGGGCAGAGGGGTGGGCGTGGTATACTCGGGCAGAGGGGTGGGCGTGGTATACTCGGGCAGAGGGGTGGGGGCGTGGTATACTCGGGCAGAGGGGTGGGCGTGGTATACTCGGGCAGAGGGGTGGGCGTGGTATACTCGGGCAGAGGGGTGGGCGGTGGCCGTGGTATACTTGGAGTCTGCAAAAGCGATTGACACTGTTCCCCACACACGGCTAATGTGTAAGGTAAAGTCTATGGGCTTGGAAAAAAATCTGTATGTAAATGGATGGAAAACTGGATAAAAGATCGTATTCAGAATAGTGGTTAATGATTCATACTCTGAATGGTCTAGGGTTGTCAGTGGTGTACCCCAAGGTTCAGTGTTAGTGGTGTACCCCAGGGTTCAGTGTTGGGACCCTTACTTTTTAATAGATTTATAAACGATATAGGGTCTGGGATTAAAAATCCCATTTCAGTCTTTGCAGATGACACCAAGCTGTGCCGTGGAATAACGTCCTTACAGGATGTCTCCAATTTACAAGCCGACCTCAATGCTCTGTGTAATTGGGCAACTATGTTGGTTGAACTGGATGGACTTTTGTCTTTTTTCAGCCAGACTAACTATGAACTGGGGCCATTTTCACATAGTACTACAGAGCTGCTGGTGTGCGATGTCCTTCACATTATATGATTCAACACTGTCTGGGTGAGCGTTTGGAAAGCCTGCACCCCTTTCAAGTTGTGTATCCCCTGGAGCGATGGAGGGCACATGGAATGGCACAGCAAGTTGCTGTGTGCAATGTGCCAAGTTTGACACTTTGGTACTGTTATTCAAGCACACATCAGCTGGGACACAGGTACCAAAATGGGGAAAAATTAATCATTATCTGCGGCATCCAAAGCCTAAAAACAGTAAGTTTTTTTTGCTACCTATTTACTTTACCTTTTATGTTTCCTATAGGAGGATGTGAAAAACAAGATGACTATATCTGACACGCCGAGTGCAGAGGACTCGAAAGGAATCCCTGACTTCTGGCTGACCATTTTTAAGAATGTAGACATGATCAATATATCTGTACAGGTGAGTCGTCTTCTGATGGAGGTCTAAGGGCTCGTTCACACTTGACTGTTTTTCCAACTCTTGCCAAATGTCCCTATAGCGTTTGACAAGCGTTGGTCCGGCGTTTGCGGTTTAGCGGCGGTTGCTGGCGTTTGCGGCGAGCGTTTTTAACGCTTGGCAAACGCCTACAATGAAGTTTGAATGGTGTTAACGCCCCGTAACCACGTCGCCACCGCAAACGCCGGCCGTATGCGGAGCGGCACCATAGACTTGAATAGGAGGCTTCAACTCCTCCTGACTCGACCAAAGGCGTCTGTTTTGCTGCGATGCTAACGCTCCCGTTTGAACAGCACCATACAATGTGCAGAAGTTTCCCAGGCGTTTGGGAAACGGTAAAAACGCTTCCCAAACGCCTGTCTGCCGCTTGCTAACAAGGCTAGTGTGAACGTGGCCTTATACTAGGCGTTTCTTGGCTATAGCAGATGTTTTAACAGGACACCTGTCAGGGAGATCATAAGATATCCCTCCATATTACTGACTTCCAGTGTTTCTAGTGAAGGATACTGTTGACACAATGCTGTACAAAGACCGTGTTTGACAATTGTAGGCTTTCAACCCTGGGGCAGCAGTTTAGGCATGGCCACTTTGTTCCATCATGACACGGCCCTTGTGTACAAAGATGGCTCCATTAAGACATGGGGGTTGATTTTACTAAAACTGGAGAGGGCAAAATGTGTTGCAGCTCTGCATAGCAGCCAAGCAACTTCCAGGTTTTTGTTTTTTTTATTTGTTTAGTTTTGCCAAAGTGTAATTGAACAAGCTGAAGTTAGAAGCGGATTAGCTACCATGCACTGCTTCACCAGATTTTGGGCACTCCAGTTTCGGTAAATCAATGCCACGGTTTGGTGTGTAGGAGCTTGATAGGCCTGCACAGAGCCTATCTATCATACTATGCAGGTTTGTCCTATGCAAGTGCACATTACAGCAAGTGCTCCAGCACCCCTCACCATTTTCCACTTTAGTGAATAGAAGTGTGTCAAATCTCCGCTTTAATTTCGTTGTAGAATTTTTTGTCATTTATTTACTTCTCTCTCACAGGAACACGATGAGCCAATATTAAAACATTTGCAGGACGTGAAAGTGAAGTTTTCAGGGCCAGGACAGGCGATGGTGAGTAGCAGTGCATTGGTGGTCGAGGAGGGCAGTTCTGTGCAGTGTCTCCTGGTGGTGCTTGTGAGATATCCTTGGCATCGGTCTTGTATCAGGGGGGCAGAAGTAGCAATCTGCTTTTAAAAATCCAGTGCAAGAATATGAATTCAGTCAAATTATGCGGGCTTACTTACAACAGTTGTATTTCCTCATTATTGTTTATAATTTACTTTGTATGAGTGTAATGGTTGGAGTCATTGGCTTGTGATCACCTGAAGGTGGCTACCATACAGCGCATTCTGTGTCCCCACTCCTGAGTGCACAGCCCATCAAATAACAGAACCCCATACTTAAAGTAGAACTATAGGCAAAACTTTTTTTTTTTTTCAGATAGAGTAACCCCTGGTTCATTTGAATGGACGCCTGTGCCCTGTGACACGCAGGGAAGATGTCCCTGCACTTCTTTGGAAACCGCAGCCCGTACGGGAACCTCGGTTGCGATTTCCAGTATGGGCGGCATGCCATTAGAAATAATGACTTCCACCAGCGGGTCCGCATTCTTCTGGTGGTGAGGCTGCACGGATTTTTGTGCGGATCCGCAGCGGCACCACCCGCACATATATGAACCAGGGCTAAGGGAGGATTACAACCCCTGTCAGATTTTTATTTTTTTTTTTTGCCATCTGCCCCATTGTGGAGATTTCCCTTCACTTTCTGTCCCATAGCCAAACAGGAAGTGAGAGTAAATCCCTGCAAATTAAAGAAATTCCTTGAGGACCCCAGCTCACCAGAACTAGTGTCCCAATTGGAAGATTTCCCCTCTTACTTTTCTGGGGACAACACAAAATGTGGAATTTTCTTTCAATGATAATGGTAAACAGAACAAATGGGGTGAATCTCCGTAATGGGGGCACAGACACCAATAAAGGCCCATTAGGTGTAATCCTTCTGCTCTATCAAAAAAAAAAAAAAATTGCCTTTAGTTATACTTTAACCCCTTGGCGCCACGTCACACAAATATGCGGCCTCACAGAACTGGGCCTTTTTCAGTGGGGCTGCATATTTGCGTACCTGTCTTTGTGCTGGATGCGCACCACACAGCGTGCTCCCAGCACAAAGATCGGGGTGTCACTGAGAGCCCCGGGTCCCGTTCTGACGATCGGGACCTGGGACTCCGATTCTGGGTCACATATTCACTGTGATAGCCTCTGACTGGCTAATATCACAGTGATAAGTCACTGTAAAACACGCTCCTCTTGGTTTTTTTTTTTTTCTCTCTGAATGCAGGAGAGAGGTGCATTTGTATCTCGCTCTCCTTGCACAGGGGGGAAAAAAACTGTAAAATAAAAGATCAATAAATATTAAATATTTTTATATTAAAGAAAAAAGAATCAAAGATTGATTTAGTTCAGTGCCAGGGTTAGTGTTTGGGACAAGGTCAAAGGTCAGATTTTTTAAATATATATTTTTTTTTTTAAAATTGGTGTTGATGTCAGTGTGTTTTTTAGGTAAAAAAACAAAATGATCGCTATTGTTTCTGGACTGTAGTACACGTACAAATAACATACACATATATGGTATCGCTGCGATCCTCAAGAGCTGGAAAGTGTATTTTGGGTTGGTCTGTGGTGGTAGGTTATGGTAGTAACAAGAAACACACAGCTAAATTTAAAATAATTATTTTTTTTACTATTTTGGGCCAGTTTTCCTTTGATAAAAAGAAATTAAGGGGATATCCATTACCATTTACCACCAAATGAAAGCCCAATTTTTCCTGAAGAAAAACGCGGTATAATTCACCTGGATGTACAAAGTAGTTGTGATATGTACAGTTTTACTAACACATGTTGTAAAATTTTACTTGGGCTTTAAGATTTGTTTTGCCGTTAGGGGGGAAGGGGTTAAAGTAGATCAAACCAATTAAAATCTCGTAAAAGCATTAACATGTCAACAGAGAAGTATGGCCAAAGACCATGCTTCTCTTGTGAATCACGGGAGTGCGCTTTTGTTCTCCTGTGACCCAGAATTTAGCCAACAGCAGGCTATAGCCCAATGTCAGCTGTCGTCAGAGGCACTCCAGACTCTGGTAGGATCCCGACCTTATTGTCTGGATGTAACCAGCTACCTGATTGACAGCTGGCTCTGCTTCCAGCGCACGACTGGGAGCCAAAGCCAGCGGTGCCTAGCCCCTCTCTAGCCTGGCTCTTCAGTGAGCGCTGAAGGGGCAGCATGGAGAGTGGTAACTGATAGGCACTACCTGTGCTATTTATTATTAATTATTATTATTATTATTATACAGTATTTATAAAGCGCCAATAGTTCGCTCAGCGCTGTACATTACAAAGGGGGACAGAACACTCATGTGACAGAACAATACCAATACAATGCAAAACATGAGGGGATCGAGGGCCCTGCTCTTTGGAGCTTACAATCTAGGAGGGAGGGGGTGGTGGCACAGGAGGAGATAGCTGTGGGGGATGGAGTGGTAGAAAGAGTGGAGGAGGTCGGCAAGTTAGCAGGGGGTGGGGTAGGCTTCCCTGAAGAGATGGGTTTTCAGGGTGCGCCTAAAGGAGAGGAGAGTAGGTGATAATCTGATGGGTTGGGGCAGGGAGTTCCAGAGGATGGGTGACACCCTGGAGAAGACCTGGAGGCGGGCATGGGAGGAGGAGACCAGGGGAACTAGAGAGAAGGAGGTCTTGTGAGGAGCGGAGTGTGCGTGCTGGGCGGTACTTGGTTAGGTCAGTGATGTAGTTCGGGGCAGTATGGTGGGACAGCTTTGTACGTCAGTGTTAGGATTTTGAATTTGATCCGTTGTGCAATCGGAAGCCAGTGGAGGGATTGGCAGAGGGGGGTGGTGGAGATGGAGCGGTTGGAAAGGTGAATGAGTCTGGCAGCCGTGTTCAGGATGGACTGAAGAGGGGATAGCCAGCGGCGAGGCAGGCCAGTGAGGAGGGAGTTGCAGTAGTCGAGTCGTGATATGATGAGGGAGTGGATGAGCTGTTTAGTGGTTTCTGGGGTTAGGAACGTGCGGATTTTGGCGATGTTGTATAAGCAGGCAAAGTACTGAGCAATCGGTCATGATTGCTCCATTCATGGTCTTAGAATCGATGTGGAATAGCTGCATCATCTCTTTGATGCTACAGCTTAGATTTTTGAAGGGGTTTTTTTTCCTTCCTTCCTTCTTCTTCTTCCTTCTTCTTCCTTCTTCCTTCCTTCCTTCTTCCTTCTTCTTCCTTCTTCTTCCTTCTTCTTCCTTCTTCTTCTTCTTCTTCTTCTTCTTCTTCCTTCTTTCTTCTTCTTCCTTCTCCTTCTTCTTCCTTCTCCTTCTTCTCCTTCCTTCTCCTCCTTCTTCTCCTTCTTCTCTTCTCCTTCTTCTCCTTCTTCTCCTCCTTCTCCTTCCTTCCTTCCTTCCTTCCCCTTCCTTCCTTCCTTCTTCTTCCTTCCTTCCTTCCTTCTTCCTTCCTTCCTTCCTTCCTTCCTTCCTTCCTTCCTTCCTTCCTTCCTTCCTTCCTTCCTTCCTTTCTTTCTTCTTCTTCCTTCCTTCCTTCCTTTCTTTCTTTCTTTCTTTCTTTCTTTCTTTCTTTCTTTCTTCCCTTCCCTTTCCCTTCCCTTCCCTTCCCTTCCCTTCCCTTCCTTCCCTTCCTTTCTTCCTTTCTTCTTCCTTCCTTCCTTTCTCCTTCCTTCCTTCCTTTCTTCCTCCTTTCTTTCTTCCTTCCTCCTTTCTTCTTCCTTCCTCCTTTCCTTCTTCCTTTTTTTTTTTTTTTTTTTTTTTTAAGAAACTCCAAACTTCTCCTTTTTACTGTAATTTTTACGTTTTCTGCTCTATGCCAGTGCTGACCAATCAGAATTGCTCTGATCCATTTCGAAACCCCAGACAATCTCACTGAAAGCATGGGCACTGACAGATCACCACCCACGAAGGTAAGTATAGCAGGGAGGGAAGGAGGGTTGTACAGTGTTCACCTTTTCACTAAATAACCCTTTAGGAGAAATATACTCAATTGTAGAGTTTGCTTTTTAGATTCTTTATTTATGATAGCCAGTCCACTTAATAAACCAAAGTGGGTTATGGGAGGGGAGGGTCTGTCCTTCAGGGCTTTACATTTTCAGGCAAAAAACGTAAAGAAATGTAATCATGAGATAATTTTGATCAAGAGATGGATCCAGCAGCTGCCAATGGCAATTGTGGCGTCTAAATCTTCTATTCTAGATCCTTTATAGGTAAGCCTGTACAGGTAAACTAATAGAAGACCAAGTGCTCAGATTCTCGCATTAGCCCAGCTGTGTTTGGTTCTCTTTAATTGCACTATGCATATCTTTTCTCATGTAGATGCATTAATGTTGATGCTGTGAGGGTTTCATTACCATTAACCACAACTTCCATATTTCAGTCTTTCACGTTAGAGTTCCAATTTGGGCCCAATGAGTATTTCAATAATCTGGTTCTGACGAAAACCTACAAAATGAAATCTGAACCGGACTCTGCCGACCCCTTTTCCTTTGAGGGACCTGAAATCATTGACTGTGAAGGGTAAGGATGTTTGTTTTTTTTTGCCTCTCAGGGAATACTTTATTCCATTCTTAAAGCTCATTTCTGGGCTGTTTTAAAAAGGACACTTCCCACTTCATCCACCCCTAGCTAATTTAAAAAAAAAAAAAAAAAAAGGACTCTGATTTCCTACCTGACATGGCACTTGTGTGATGGGCTGGGTCCTTACTCCTTCTGTTCTGTAGTGTTGGAGGTCCTTATTGCAAAGCCTGCCTGGCTTCCCAGTGACATGGATGCTGCCTGTTGGCTGTTGACAGTGTCCATCACCTGAGATTTCTCCTCCCCTTTTGAAGTCTTTAACCCCAACCCACTGCCTCCCAATGAACCCTTTAGGTGGGTGTTGGTGCCAGAAGGTGGAAGCAGTGTCCCAGTCACGTGATCACTGTGACTCTTTGAGATCGAAAGAGAGCAGGACAGCCTCCCGATCATGTGACCACTAACAGTGACCAGCAGTCAGTGTGCTGAGAGTGAACATCAGAGCCCCATTGACGCATATGAGCAGCAGACGGGTTAAGGCCCACCTGTGCCGCTTCCTCATAAATGTATTATGTGGTCAGCAAGGGTTTAGGGATGGGCATTGTGAGGTCACAATGAGGCAGTAACAACACCAGCGAGTAGCAGGAGGGTCATGTTGACCGTAGGCTTGGGTAAGTAAAAAATAGGTGACTTTTTTTTTTTTTTTTTTTTTTTTTATTATTAAAAGGAAATAGGAGAGGGGTTCAGGGGACTTTTTGTTTGCTCTTCTTTAAATCAGAAACTACAGATCATCAATTCCATCATGAATCTAAAATCAAATGGTGAGTTCCTCGTTTAAAGGATAAGTTCATCTTTTGTAAAAAAAAAAAATAAAAAAAATGCACATTTTTTTTTTGCAGAAAAAAGTGCATTTATCAATTTGTTTTTATTGCAGGAGCCTGGAAAGTGGATCAGGGGTGCAATGTCAGGCTCCTGCAGACAAGCCTTACAGCTTTTGGCCCGTACCTCCATATGGTCTGTCGGTTTGTAAGCTGCAGGGCTTGTGAAGGAGCTCCAAGGATGCTCATCAGTGCCTTTGCAGTTCATTCAGAACTACACGCCATCTGCCACGGTGGCATACAGTGTAGTACATACAGTAATACAGGTGGATCATGTTCCAGAAGATGAACTTATCCTTTCAATGTAAAAATTAAAATTGGGGCTATCAAAAGTTATGCAGAGTTACGGTTTACTGGGCACTTTTTAACCTTCTATTGACAATGATTCCCTTCATATGTCTGGCAGGACAGCGATAGCTTTGACTGACTTTGCTGCAAATGCATTGAAAATTAGAAGGAGGATTACATTGCTTAAATGTGCCCAGCTGATACTCTATTTTTGTGTTTTTTGCAATCGAGCAATTTTTTTTTTTTATTTAAATAACATGTCTATACTTACCTGCTCTCTGCAGTGGTTTTACACAGAACAGTCCAGATCCTTTTCTTTTCGGGTCCCTGCCAGCGCTCCTGGCTCCTCCCCCTCAAGCAGTGCCCACAGGCAAAGCCACTCATCCTTTGGGTACCACTGCGTGGTCGTCCCCGAGCCACTGCTCTATGCCTCCCTAATACACACAGCCGTGACTCGGGAGGGCCCCCCCTCCCTATTGGCTCACTGGCTGTGATTGGCAGCAGTGGGAGCCAATGGGCTCCTACTGCTGTCTCCTCAGCCAATGAGGAGGGAGAGTCCCCAGCCAGCAGAGGCTGTTGAGAACGTCGCTAGATCGTGAGGGGGGAAGGGGCGGTTCACACAGAAGGCTTTTTACCTTGAGCCTTTTAGAACCACTTTAAAGTTGTTCTAAACCAAATCTAATACAATCTTTAACACTTTAATGTAATTCCAGATCGTTTTCAATCTTTTTATATTTGCAGCTTTTACTGAAATAATACCTGGAAATCCTGCCATTAAAGTCCTTGCTCAGGCACTTCCTTTTAGGGGATGACCACTCCCGATTGTGCACTGTTGCCACATCACATGCTCCTCTAGTGGACACTACATGTTGCCACACATGATATAGGCATGATCCACTGTTGTCACTATCAGAAAGCTGGCCCAGAACAATAATTTTCTTATAGACCTGAATGGGATTGGAAGAGATCAGCAGCACTGAGGAATCAAAATGATAGCGGGAGCAGGTGAAATGAAAATTTTCTTTACAAAAAGAAAAAAAGCCCATGGTAGTTGTTTGATATACAGTGCTTTATCAAACCAAACCTCATCCAGTTTGGGTTTAGAATAATTTAAGTCTGAAATGTAGGCTGAATGCGTCATACAATATCACACCATACAGAGTGGCTAACCTGTGGCTCTCCAGCTGTTGTGGAACTACATTTCCCATGAGGCATTGCAAAACTGCCAGTTACAGCTATGACTTGCAGAGGCATGATGGAACTTGTAGTCCTGCAGCAGCTGGAGAGCCGCAGGTTGGCCACCCCTGAAAATGTTGAAACTGGAGGATCAGACGAGTAAAAATATTCTTGTTTTATTTACTATTATTCCACCTTGATAGGCAGATACTGGCACCATTGAGATTAAATTGTGAGTTCAGCAAAACTGAGCTTGCAAGTTCTTGAAATTCTCTGCAACTTTCACTTTTTTTTTTCTTTAAGTCTATGGGCAGCTCTACTCATCACCTTCACAGTTGTTGGTGTTTTTTTACTCTTAAAACAGGTGCACTATCGACTGGAAAAAAAGGGTAAAAATATCACCGTTAAAACAATAAAAAAGAAACAGAAGCACAAGGGACGAGGCACTGTGCGGACTATAACGAAACAAGTCCCCAACGAGTCCTTCTTTAACTTCTTCAGCCCTATCAAAGGTGAAGTTTTGTTCTGATTTGTTCTTTCTTTGCTTTTTCTCCTCAGATTTTCTTTGGTCTTGTACCCCTAGGCATCAATTCACTGCTTTAAATTGGCAATCCGGGGGAAAAAAATTTTGGGCCCATGCAGTGGGGCTGTGCTGTCACTGCACGGGTCAAATGCTCATTTTGCTCTAGGAGAGAGGACACCAAGATAGACTCACCTGATCCTCCCCGCACAAGAACGTTTCTTTCGACTCCTGCAAACCCAGTCTATCGGTCTTGTAAGTGGACTGTTCCTGCCGTCAGCATGCTCAAGGCACGCTCCACAGACAGGAACAGTCCACGGCTGGACCATGGGGAAGCGCAGTTTTCCATAGGATCAATGGGTCCGGTAAGTATGAGCTTAGTCCTCACCCCTAGAAAAAAAAACAAGCAGCCAATCCATGCAGTGGGGGCACAGCCCCACTGCATTGTAAAAACAAAAAATTAACTGGAGTTCTGCTTTAAAGCAGAAATAGTTTGTTGCCATTAAACTGAGCATGTTCCTTTAGCCCTGTATTGGCACTTATGTTCACATTCCCTTCACTCGTCTTTGCTCCACTTGCTTGTAGGGAAAAAATAAATCTAACTAGTACCTCCAGGTATGGGGAGCATGTTACTTGTTCCCTTTTCTTCTAAGTGCCAGCACTGGTGCTGAAATGGAAGAAACAAAAGCATGGAGATCCTTGCACTGCAGGAGCTCGGGTACAGCAGCTTCTCCAGCATGGAGAACAGTCAGCAGCACAGTAGTGTTATCGCCAGATCTTCTGAGACTAGCAGTCAGAGGCAGGCATACCTTAGATCTCACACTGCAGGTACACATATATGAGGCTCAGGAGTGTGTTCATGCCACAACGCACATAAATGCATGCGTGTTAAAGCGCATTGAGGTTAATGTGTTGCTCTGCAGCCCAACATACTGCACCCTTTAAAAAACAAAAAACAAAAGGGGGGTCAGCTGAGCAGTTTCCACAGCTGTACCCTGATAGCTTTCTTTTTGTCTCCTGCTCCGTGTATTTAGTTTTCTTTGAATCATTTTGTTTTAATTCTTTTTTTTTTTTTTTTTCCTTTTCTACAGCAGCCAGTGAAGGAGAGGAAATGGTGAGTAAATTACCTTCAATGTACTTTTGCTGTATTTCGTATAATGCAAAGAGGGAAGGGCCTCAAGTCCTAAAGCAGCTGAAGGAACAGACTTGTCAAATCCCCATGATTAAAATGTGAGTCTAAGCACTCAGGAGAATCTATTTCCTCTGTAGGTCTGCAATATCCTGAAAAATTTGTGCCACGGAACTTCCTCTTAAAGGGTGATAACTCATCAAAAAAGCATCATGGGACTTGCAGTCCTTAACCACTTCCCATCCGGCCCATGTGTATAAACCGTGCAGGAGCGGGTTGCCCTTCATAAACTACGCCTGCATTTTCAAGCTGTGCAGTCTGGTCTCCCTGGGAGCGCTCGGCACCACAATTAGCCAATCAGTGATCACATGAATAGTTGTAAGCAAGATGTCACTTTTGACATCATTGCTTATTACTTGTGAAAGAGGTCACATGGTCCAGGGCCATTCACAACAGCCTTGTACCATGTGACAAGCTGTGATCAATCACAGCTCACACAGTATTTCTCAATGGCTGCAGGAATACAGCCAGAGAGGAGGAGAAATTATTGCTTTTACAGCCTTTATGGGCTTTACTATAAAAAAAAAAAAAAATATTTTTGAAAAATTATAAATTTTTGGTTATAAACTAATTTGGGTTATTTTATTTATTTATTTATTTTTTTTTACTAAAAACATAACCGAATAAATTTTGGCCAAGATTTATGAAGAAAGATTATTTAATTGCAAAATGTTATAATAATAACTTTTTTTTCAAAATTTTTGGACTTTTTTTCATTTATATTACAAAAAAAATAAATTAATGAATTTTCTTTCAAAAATCTTTTCTAAGAATTTCCTTTTGAATTTTGCACCATTAGTGGGCCACAGAAACGGACAATTTTTGAGTGAACGGGCATGCTGGAAATTTTTTGAAAAACTAACGAAATTCTAATCAATGATGGGAGAATAGTGAGAATTATAATCGAAAAAGAAATGAGAGTGAGATGTGACCTGGAAAGAAAAGAAAATTCTTGGCCACGAAAATTCTTTTCTGTAGCAACATGAGGTGAAATTGAAGGCTTGGTTGGTCGACTTTTGAAATCAGTGGCGGCACCATCGGGTTATAAAAACACACAATTTCTGATTTTCTAAAGAAAATTTTGTTCAGAATTCGACCTGGCCTGCATTTCTGGAGGATGTCTGGTCTTTGCTCCCTACAGCACAGCTTTTCCGCTCTCTCTTAACTGTCTATGGCCAACAGCTCCTCTGGGGTTGACGTAGTGATATGTCCCTGAATAACCCCGGGTTCACACCTATGTGGGCCGCGATTTGCTCGGACATGGAGCCCATTCATTTGAATGGACTCCCGTCCCCTTGACACGCAGGGAAAGAAGTCCTGGCACTACTTTGGAAACCGCAGCCCGCATGGGAACCTCGGTTCCCAGTACGGTTGTGTTTTCCAGTGCGGGTGGCGTGCCATTAGAACTAATGGCACCCACCCGCAGGTCCGCAATTCTATGTGCGGGTGGTGCGGCTGCACGGATTTTCATGCGGATCCGCAGCGGCACCACCCTCACAGATCTGAACTTGGGGGTAAGTGAATGTGAAGACAGATCAGTGGGCCAACACTGCATAGCATTGCTGACCCTCAAAAGAAAAAGAGATAACAGCAGCACTGAATAAATACTTGGGAATGATGGGACTATTAATAGCAGATTTATATGTTGTATTATGAAAGCCCAATCTATATATCCGTTTATTTTGCCTGGAGTTTCACTTTAATAAGCCATTGCATTTCTCATTTCTGCAGGATGAAGAGATGGAAAACTCTCTAGCGGCCGATTTTGAGCTTGGTCACTTTTTCCGGGAAAGAATAGTCCCCCGAGCTGTTCTTTATTTTACAGGAGAAGCAATTGAGGATGAAGACAGTGTATGTTTATCTCCAAAATTCTTAGTCATTAGAGGGATTTACATTCTTATGGTAGATTATAGGTTACAGTTGGTTGTTGATTTTACCTGTATGGTGACTGAAGGCCGATATATTATTTAGAGGGCATTTTAAAAACTCAAACAGTTACATCTCTTCCTGTATGGGGGGGATACAGAAGAGACGTAACTGGTTCTGTACCTAGTGCCGGCATAGCTATCCCAACGATAGTGCCGGCACAGCTATCGAGGGGGGGGATGGCTGTGCCGGCACTAGGTACAATATTTTCCGGAACCAAGATAAATTGCCAATGGGATTTCAGACAACAGGAGCACTTAGAGCAGTGTCACATTGGTGAAAGGATTCCCCCATCCTCTGGAACTCCCTACCCCAATCCATCAGACTGTCACCTACCCTCCTCACCTTTAGGCGCACCCTGGAAACCCATCTCTTCAGGGAAGCCTACCCCACCCTCACCTAACTGCCGATCTCCTCCACTCCTCCTACCACTCCATCCCCCACAGCCACTAAATTATTTAAACCTTTTCTCTGCAATGCTCTATTGTAGGATTTCCTTTCTCCAAGTAAATAATCAAAGTGGAATTTTATTGACTAAATTGACTATTTACTAAACTACTCGTTCACTCCCTCATTAACTCACGCCTGGACTACTGCAACTCCCTCCTCACCGGCCTACCTCATCACAGATTATCCCCGCTTCAGTCAATCCTGAACTCAGCGGCCAGACTCATCCACCTTACCAACTGCTCCGCTTCTGCCACTCCCCTCTGTCATTCCTTCCACTGGCTCCCGATTGCCCAACGCATCAAATTCAAACTACTAACACTGACATACAAAGCCATTCATAACGCTGCCCCAAATTACCTCACCAACCTGATACCCAAATACCACCCTACACGTAATCTTCGCTCCTCACAAGACCTCCTACTTTCTAGCTCCAGGACTTCTCCAGGACTTCCCCGATCCTCTGAAATTCACTACCCCAATCCATCAGACTGTCACCTACCCTCCTCACCTTCAGGCGCACCCTGAAAACCCTCCTCTTCAGGAAAGCCTACCCCAACCTCACCTAACACCTGACCTCACCTAACAAGTAACTTCCTCCACTCCTCCGACCACTCTATCCCCCACAGCCATCTCCTCCTGTACCACCTTCCCCTCCCTCCTAGATTGTAAGCTCGAAAGAGCAGGGCCCTCGAACCCCTCGTGTATTGTATTGTTACTGTCTTATCTCATGTTCTGTCCCCCTCACTACTGTACAGCGCTGAGCATACCCTTTGGCGCTATATAAATACTGTATAATAATTAGTGGCAGGATCGCTTTGGAGGACACTGCTGGGGGTAAAAATGCTAAATGTCTTGCATGTGTCACTTCCTCTCTGGCTGGAAGAGTGAGGCAGGTCATTTAGATTTTTCAGCAGTCTTGGCAGGGAGGGACCAATGCCTCATACAAAGCAAGTAAGTGTCCTTCCTATATATTTTCTAGTGATCTTGTTGCTGGATTGTGAGTCTGAATCTGACGTGGACCTGTGAGGAAATGCACACAAATTAGGAAGGGAAATCAAAATCGACGACTTTGCATGAAATTGAGCCTATGATTTCACAGCTGATAGGCACCTATACTAAAATTTAGATTTCATTTTTGGGGTGTGCTGGGGAGCATTTCACTTTTAGTACGCCTGCGAAAGCTTGATACATCTCCAGATAAATTCATGCAGCATTGGACCTACCTAGCAGGAATCATCACTGCTTTGGAAATATGGCGCCACCTATGATGAAACCGTGAGATTGCAAATGCTTTCTCTGTAGATCCACTTTAGTTTAAAGGGGAGTGCAGTCGAAATTTGTATTATCTATTTATTACAGGTACTTTGTATAGCACCGGCAATTTACGCAGATCTTTAGAAAAGGTTCCTGTACTACTTCAAGGTGACTTCTGCCCATAGACTTTAATGGATGTTGCCTCCAAATCAGATCCTCATCTATATTGATGCAATTTGGATTATTTATTTTTATTTTATTGCAGGTACTTATAGCGCCGTCAATTTACACAGATCTTTACATATATATTGTACATTCACATCAGTCCCTAACCCTCAAGGGGCGTACAATCTAAGGTCCCTAACCCTCAAGGGGTACAATCTAAGGTCCCTAACCCTCAAGGGTGTACAATCTAAGGTCCCTAACCCTCAAGGGGGGTACAATCTAAGGTCCCTAACTCACATTCATACATACACATACTAGGGACAATTTAGACAGGATCCAATTCACCTACCAGCATGTCTTTGGAGTGTGGGAGGAAACCGGAGTACCCGAGAGGAAACCCACGTAGGCACAGGGAGAACATGCAAACTCCAGGCAGGAGGTGCTGTGGTTGGGATTCGAACTAATGACCCCAGTACTGCCAGGCGGAAGTGCTAACCACTTAGCCACTGTGCTGCCCAAATACATATGATAATAGATTTATATGCTGGGTTGTCTGTGTGGATCAGGACTTGTCTTCACACAAGCCATACCACACAACATGGACAGGAGAGTGACATCACTGCCCACTATTGCAAATTCTGTGTCAACTGTTTGCTGATTGGACTATGAAAGAGCATCATCGCACTACTGAGGGGCCTCCCTGTACATCCCACCCTACTGTAAGGTGCCTCTGATACTGACCCAAGTGTCTGAAAACATGTTAGATTGGCACAAATATTCATTACTATAGATCCTTGTTGGAGGACAGGGCAGAACCCTTCGCTCTTTTGTGAATTTCTGACATACAGTGGGGATCGAAAGTTTGGGCACCCCAGCTAAACATTTGTATTAATGTGCATAAAGAAGCCAAGGAAAGATGGAAAAAAGACGCCATTTTTTTTTTTCTGTTATTTTGAAAGTGTAAATGATGGAAATAAAATCTAACGTTTGTTGACATATTATAAGAATGTCTAATCTGTAATTTGATGCCTTTTGGAGATTTTTCCATCTTTCCTTGGCTTCTTTATGTACATTAATACAAATTTTAAGCTGGGGTGCCCAAACTTTCGATCCCCACTGTACATAGTATTGTGGAAAGAAAATAAAAAACTTTTAAATGTTGTCTGTAATAACTGGCTTGTAGAATAGAGTACATAACGGACTTTTTTTTTTTTTTAGGACATGACACCAATTAGTGGAAAATATAAGTGGATTTTTATTTATTGTACAACACAGAACACACAGCATACTTATAGTCATTGCGACTGGGTTATTGTAATGAATATAAGAATTTTATTTGTCCCTTGGTGTACTCCAAGAAAGAGAGATTGTATTTTTTTTTTTTTTTTTTTTAATATATTCAGCTTGTATGTGGGAGACTTACAATCCAATGGTGTTAACCAGCCTTGCTCAGCTTTATAACACAGAGGAACCCTTGAAATAATTTTCAGTTCTCCGGCACCCTCAATAAAATGTAATGAATAATAATGGCCTGAAAGGCTGAAAAGAATTCTGATGACCTCCTAACGTTGTTGGCCTGTGTAAAAGTGTGACCCCCTTACTTTGGCGGATGGTCTAGAAGTGACCCCTTACGTTGGTGGTTCATGTAGGCAATCTGCCACTGCTCTCGGGTTGGGAAGGGCTGTAGCCACTAGTGGGGATACTATGTCTGGTGTAACCCTGTAATTGATTCATGGTTTCTTTCTTGTAGTTTGAAGAGGGTGAAGAAGGAGAAGAGGAGGTGAGTAATGTTTTATATATACAATGTACAGTATCTTTTATCTGTTATCATTTTAGGTCTCCCCTAAGCCCAAACGCAAACCTATACTTACAAAATTGGGCACTTCTCCATTGCAGGCCTCTATCTAGAAAATAAATAATAACTGTTGCCTGTCTGTCATGCCATCCAGTGGTTTTAGTACCCAGAACTTTATTAACCACTTCCCGACCGGCCGTTGCATATAAACGGCCAGACGGTGGCAGTGCAGGGTCGGGTGGCTGTTTATAAACAGCCTCCCCGCACCCTGCTCGTGAGCGCTCCCTGGGAGCGCGCAGCACCCGCGATCCGGTGCCCACTGTGTCCTCCGGACACAGTGAAAACACCGATCGTCGGACGGGACCTCTGTACGAGGTCCAGATCCTGTGAGCAGTGATTGGCCAATCAGTGATCACATGCAAAGTAGTAAGCAAGATCCTCACTTGTGACTCATTGCTTACCAAATCTGTGAATGATCACAGAGATCACATGGTACAAGCCTATTCACAAGAGGCTTGTACCATGTGACAAGCTGTGACCAATCACAGCTCACTCAGTACTTCTCAATGATTGCAAGCTCCACACAGAGAGCAGAGAAATGATTGCTTTTACATCCTCATGGTTTGCAAGCAATGTGTAAAAAAAAAAAAAAAATTCTGTCACAAGTAGTCTGTCACCATTTGACACTGTACTGCTAGGGTGACAGTATGAAAAAAATAAAAATAAATAAAAAAATAATATAAAAAAAAAAATTAAAAAAAATGTTTAAAAATTATAATTTTTGGTTATAAACTAATTTGGATTTTTTTTTTTACTAAAAAGATGAATAAATTTTGGCAAAGATTTATGATGAAATATTATTTATTTGCAAAATTTTATTTAAAAAAAAACACTTTTTTTTTTTCAAAACGGAAACCTATACATTTACAAAAAAAAATTCCCAGGGTGAATAAATTCCACCAAAATGCAGGCTTCTATCTGTCTCAAAAAAGGTATAAAAAATTTGGGTACAGTGTGTCATGACCATCCAATTGTGTGTGATAGTGCTGAAAGCTGAAAATTGCCCAGAAAGAGGGTAAAAGTGTCCGGTCTGGAAGTGGTTAAAGATCAGGGGTTCTGTATGTATGTTCTGTGTCGGTTCAGCCCAAAACAGCCAAGTCTTTCAGGTCTTCTCAGTATGGGTTTCATTGAGGGCACATTCGCACCCATGGTGCAGAGACATCAGTTTTTCTGCACACGTTCTGCAAGGGCACAAATAATTCAGTTGTTCTCTATGTGTCCAGTTCACACCACAATACTAGTATCACATGCAGATTTTTGCTGCGCAGGAATCTGCAATGTGTATTAAATTCATTGAGGCCTTGTTCACACCAGTCGTGCAGAAAAACTGATGGAAACTGACGCACAGATTTCACTTGCAGAGACATCAGTTTTCATGCGTGCTTTAATGAGTTTTATACATGTTGCAGATTCCTGCACAGAAAAAATCTGCATGCGATACTAATGTGGTGTGAACAGGGCACATAGAACAATTGATTTCATTGTGCCCTTGCAGTAAAACTAACATCTCTGCACCATGGTGTGAACAAGCTCTGAAGCACGCATGAAAACTGATGTCTCTGCAAGTAAAAAATCTGCCCGTATGGTGTGAATGAGGCCTTACCCCTGGTTCACATATGTGCTACCATGTGGGCCACGTTTTGCGCGGACACGAGCCCGTTCATTTGAATGGACTCCTGTGCCCCGTAACACGCAGGGAAGAAGTCCCTGCACTTTTGAAAACGCAGCCCGCTCGGGAACCTCTGTTTTCAGTACGGTTGCGTTTTCCAGTCCTGGGCGGCGTGCCATTACAGCTAATGGCACCCGCCCACGGGTCCGCATTCCTCTGTGTGGGTGGTGCAGCTGGACAGATTTTTGTGCGGATCCACAGCCGCACTACCCGCACAGATGTGAACCTAGCCTTACTGTCAACTAGCTATGTCTGTTAAAGCCTGAACTGTCAGTTTGTCCAAAGTGATTGTTCAGTTGCAGGTGGAAGCAATAGGGCTGATCAACACATTCATGTTATAATTGTCGAGAATTGCAGTGGTTAGATCTCTCTGTCATTGTTTTGGGACTGTTCACTTCTTCTGTTGTATTCTATAAATCCAACAGTGCAAGTGGGACCTCCTTGTAATGTCATCAGACAGGTGTGGAGATCTGTAAGATGTGGGAATCTCGCCTTCCAAGATCTGTAAAAAAAAAAACTGGTGATGTAACGATCTAGCATCTATAAATAAGAAGTGGTGAACCTTTAACTTCCTAACTGCCTGCAGCAGATGTTGCTCACATTTTATTTTACTGCAAAGAGAGAAAAAAGTAGAAGCGCGCTGTACTATGTATATGGGGGGGGGGGGGGGGGGGGGGATCAAATGGTCTATTTAAAGCGGAGCTCCACCCGAAAGGGGAAGTTGCGCTTTAAGGACTGCTCCCCATTAAGGATGGGCACCTTTGAGGGGCGGGGGGGGGAGTGGATACCCGAATTTGACAGGTACCCGCTCCTACTTCCGGTCGCCTAGGTGATCAGAAGCGGAAGGTGTCCCCCCTCACTCCCTGTAGTGTTTTGGAACACGTGACCGGTCCCAGAAGACTACAGGGGCATTTATGAAGTGCAGCTCTACTCGCGCATGTGCAGTGGGTACACTGATGTGAAGTCGCAAACTGTCACAACCGGGTGCCCACACTGAAGATGCCGGCCGCCTGGAAACCAGGACGGCCGGTGAAACGGGCTGCGGGGGACACACCACGGGACGAGGGACAGGTAAGTGGTTGTTTTTTAAAAGTCAGCAGCTACAGTTTTTGTAGCTGCTGACTTTTATTTTTTGACAAGGTGAGTGGAACTCCGCTTTAAGGAAGTAAATGGTGGGCTACGAGCACGATGCCTTCACCATGCTTGTGCTCCTTTTGAGATCTACAAGTTTTCTGCTGCAGTGGCAGATGAATCTGTGAATGAATGATGTGGCTGTGTGGGGCAGTACATGATGCTGCAGGGAGAAGAACCCCGCAGTTCAGGTAAGGGGGGGGGGGCGGTTTGAGGGTGAGTGCTGTGGAATGGCACCATGCGTCATGTTTATCCCTGTTCTTGGGTAATGTTTTGAGATAAAAATGAACCTTTGTTCTTTTTTTGTAGGAGATGGAAGGGGAAGAGGAGTGTGAGGAAGATGACGACGAGCCAGTAAAGGTATACATTTTTTGTTCTTTCAAGTACAAGACTCAAGTACTCGTTTGTGTTGTAAGGATTTTAAAATCGCATTATAAAACCAGTTCCAGTCAGGCAGGTTTTTCTTAGACATATTACATCTTCCATTGTTTCTGCCTAGATAAAACAACCGAGCTGCTGGAGGTCATCAGGAGCACCAATATGCATGACTACACATTGGAGTAGATGTACTAAAATAGGAGCACACAGAATCTAAGAAGCTCTGCTTATAAACCAATCGGCTTCCAGGTTTTATTGCCAAAGCTTAACTGAACAAGCTGAAGTTAGAAGCTGATTGGTTACCCTGTACAGCTGCATCAGATTCTTTGTGCACCAGTTTTAGTAAATCTCTCCCATTATGTCAAACATGCCTCAAAGTTTTCCCTCTTCCAGTGATGCTAGGTCCGCCCTCCATGCCACTGTTTTTTGATTAACTTGTCTTCTGGACCAGCATCTTCTGTGCTTGGACATTGGGTGGTCACTGATGAGGCGTTTCATGTGAATGAGCGTGGAAATTGTTGTCCCATCTGGCAGTCTTGCAGCATTTTTGACAGCGAAGATGCAACCATACAGCTTACAGATGCTGAGCGTGAGCTGCACTTTTAGGAATTATGCCCCATTGTTGGTGTCAGTGGAAGGCATAGTGCCCAGTGTTTGTGTTACTGGCCGGAATATTGCTGGTGTCTGTGGAAGGAATAGTGCACCAATGTTGGTGTCTGTGGAAGGAATAGTGCCCTGATATTGGTGTCTGTGGAAGGAATAGTGCCCTGATGTTGGTGTCTGGGTAGAATAGTGCCCTGATATTGGTATCAGTGGGAGGAATAGTGCCCCGATGTTGGTGTCTGTGGGAGAAATGGTGTCAGTGGAAGGAATAGTGTGGTGTCTGTGGGAGGAAAGGTTCCCCGATGTTGGTGTCAGTGTGGAATTATATTCCCCCGATGTTGGTGTCTGTGGGAGGAATAGTGCCCCGATGTTGGTGTCTGTGGAATTATATTGCCCCGATGTTGGTGTCTGTGGTAGAATAGTGCCCCGATGTTGGTGTCTGTGGGAGAATAGTGCCCCGATGTTGGTGTCTGTGGGAGAATAGTGCCCCGATGTTGGTGTCTGTGGGAGAATAGTGCCCCGATGTTGGTGTCTGTGGGTGTCTGAGGGAGAAATAGTGCCCCGATGATGTTGGTGTCTGTGGGAGAATAGTGCCCCGATGTTGGTGTCTGTGGGAGGAATAGTGCCCCGATGTTGGTGTCTGTGGTAGAATAGTAGTGCCCCGATGTTGGTGTCTGTGGTAGAAAATAGTGCCCCGATGTTGGTGTCTGTGGGGGGTAGAATAGTGCCCCGATGTTGGTGTCTGTGGGAGAAATAGTGTGGTGTCTGTGGGGAGAATAGTGCCCCGATGTTGGTGTCTGTGGGAGGAATAGTGCCCCGATGTTGGTGTCTGTGGTAGGAATAGTGCCCCGATGTTGGTGTCTGTGGGAGGAATAGTGCCCCGATGTTTGGTGTCAAGGGCCGGATAAAGGCAAGCAAAGGGCCATAGTTTGAAGACCACTGGACTAGGCAAATGACTTAAATGAAGCCCAGAACTACAGGAAAAAAAGGTATTTAGGGGCAGCATAACCACTTTAAGTCCACCATATAGCAGATGTAGTGCTACAGAGCGGACATTCTGTGCAAAATCGTGTGTGTTGGGGGCGCACGTGTCGGCGGAGCACCGCTTCTGTTGTGATTGGACAGAGCAGATGCTGATCAACCGGTGCCAGGCAATGGATGAGTTCCGGCACCTGTTGATCACTAAGGAGACTGACATAAAACAGCTCTGCCTATGTACACAAGGCAGAGCTGTTTTTGTCAGCCACACAACAGGGAACAAAATCTAGCCAATTGCCTAGTAAAAACACCTAACACAGTAGATAAATCGCATAGCTAAGCACACAGTTAACCCTTTGTTCACCCTGGATGTTTAACCCCTTCCTAGACAGTGGAATTAATATAGTGACAATATAGCACTGATAACTGTATTAGTGTCACTGCTTCTCACAAAGTGTCACACTGCCCACCACAATATCGCAGTCCCTCGTTAAGTTGCTGACCGCCATTACTAGTATTAAAAAAAAAAAAAAAATTAAATTCAAGTATATATACCACCATTTGTGTAAACCAATCAATCATATACATATTGGGATATTTTTTTTTTATTAAAAATATGTAGCAACATACATTTTGGCCTAAATTTATGACGAAATTTGATTAAATTTTTTTTTAATTTATTTTTTTAAACCTAGAGGTGATCAAATACCAGAAAAAGAAAGCTCTATTTGTGGGAAGACATCTATATAAATTCTGTTTGTGTGCAGCATTGCATGACTGCGCAATTGTCAGTTAAAGTAATGTAGCGCCGCATAGCAAAAAATGGGTTGGTCATGAAGGGGGGGGGGGGTAAATCTTCCGGTTATTATTTTTTAAAATACTTTTTATTATGATATTAAAGGAACAGGAGACGGTCCTAGAGAAGCAAATTGTGTAAACTGACTGCAGATCCAGTTTAAGTGTATGTAACCAGTATCCACAGCATTGTCATTCTGGGCAATGTAGTAACATTTTGAGATGTTTTGAGATTTTGAAATGTTTTGAGATTTAGGTAAACTAACACAAAATCAAATTTTTGACTTTTTTTCTCAAAATTACAATTTTATTAAGTCATAAAGTTATTCTGATGATCTGTACTACAACACAGCACACTTCTACATGCTGTTCATGCGGTTTGATGATGGTTATAAACTCCATGCATCCTGTTAAGGTTTGGTATTCTATTACACATGTGAATCAGTGTAGAGTTGTTGTCCGTCTCTGAACTATATCTGCTACTCTTGCTTTACCATGTTGTATACAGTTGTGTTCAAAATAATAGCAGTCAGACATCACTAACCGGATCAATCGCTGTTTTTTTGGTAGAAATGATATTTCTACACGGCAAATAATTTCCTAGCAGGTGTAGTAGAGTAATAGAAATCCAACAGACCCAACAGTCATGACATGCATGCTGCTGATTCTGTGTCATTGAATCACTCATTGAAAGGGGCATGTTCAAAATAATAGCAGTGTGGAGTTCTATTAGTGAGGTCATTCATTCTTTGAAAAACAGGTGGCAGTTATTGCCCTTATTTAAGGAAGGAAGGCAGCAAATGTTGGACATGCTGGTTACAGTGCATTTCTCTCTGAAATTCTGAGGAAAATGGGTCGTTCCAGACATTGTTCAGAAGAACAGCGTACCTTGATTAAAAAGTTGATTGGAGAGGGGAAAACATATAAAGAAGTGCAGAAAATGATCGGCTGCTCAGCTAAAATGATCGCAAATGCTTTAAAATGGCAACCAAAACCTGAAAGACGTGGAAGAAAGGGAAAAACTACCATTGGAATGGATAGAAGAATAGCCAAAATGGTGCGGACTCAGCCAACAATCAGCTCCAGGAAGATGAAAGAAGGTGTGACGTTCCCTGTGAGGACTGTTACAATTAGAAGACGCCGATGTGAAGCCAAGCTATCTGCAAGAAGTCCCCCGCAAAGTCCCACTGTTGGAAAAAAGACGTGTGCTGAAGAGGTTACAATCTGCCAAAGAGCACATTGACCGGCCTAAAGAGAAATGGCGCAACATTTTGTGGACTGATGAAAGTAAGATTGTTCTTTTTGGATCTAGTGGCCGGAGGCAGTTTGTCAGACGACCCCCAAACACTGAATTCAAGCCACAGTACACTGTGAAGACCGTGAAGCATGGTGGTGCAAGCATCATGATATGGGGATGTTTCTCATACTACGGTGTTGGGCCTATTTATCGCATACCAGGGATCATGGATCAGTTTGAATACATCAGAATACTTGAAGAGGTCATGCTGCCTTATGCTGAAGAGGAAATGCCCTTGAAATGGGTTGTTCCAACAAGACAATGACCCCAAACACACCAGTAAACGTGCAACATCTTGGTTCCAGACCAACAAGATTGACGTTATGGAGTGGGCCAGCCCAATCCCCGGATCTTCATCCAATAGAAAAACTTGTGGGGTGACATCAAAAATGCCCATTTCTGAGGCAAAACCAAGAAATAGAGAAGAACTGTGGAAATGTGGTCCAATCATCCTGGGCTGGAATACCTGATCACAGGGGCCAGAAGTTGGGTGACTCCATGCAAACACAGATGTACAGCAGTTCTCAGAAACAGTGCGACTACAACCAAATATTCATGAAGTCATTCAAAGGAAAGCAAAAAATCTTCAAACAATTTATCTCAGTTTATATAGTGAATGTTTGAGTTTGTAAAGAATGAATACAGAGACACTGCGATATTTTTTTGAACCGTCTAATATTCACTTTTCTTCAATTTTTTTTAGAGGAACAACACAAATTTGATGTATTTTTCTTCATGTTTTGATTTGGAATAGAATTGGTGTCGTGTTCCCAATGCATTTGTGTGGATGGAAAAGTAAAAGCTAGTTAGAAGTTCCTGTTTTTCAACTTGGCTATTTGATCTAACACTTCACTAATGGATACATGCTTTACAGCTTGGGCTGTGTGCCCCCCCCCCCCCCACTACTCGCTCCCCAAACAACACTCCTCACCTCCCATAGTACCTCCGCCCTGTACTCAACAAATGTAACTCCGCCTCCCTGATTGTCTGACAGCCCGATGTGCTGTTGTCGCCCTCCAAGTCCGACTCCGACGAACCTGCCCACTACCTCCTTCCCCCTCCCAATACGGCTCCTTCTCCCCTCCCAATACTCCGCTCCCCTAACCCGAATTCTGCTCCCAATACCCAATACTCCTCCCCTCCCCTCCCAATACTGCTTATGCTTTCCCGCCAGGGTCCTCCCCTCCCTCAATACTCCTCTCCCTCACCCCCCCCCCCCCTCCCCACCCCCCCCCCCCCCCCCCCCCCCCCCCCCCCCCCCCCCCCCCCCCCCCCCCCCCCCCCCCCCCCCCCCCCCACCCCCCCCCCC